CCCGCGTTGGGGTCGGTGCGCGGGGCCCCCGCCTTCCACCGGCCGAGCTGGCCCCGCGTGGCACCGCCAAAGCAGAAAGTTTGGAAAACTTACCGGGACGAACATCCGTGAGCCGGCGCTGTAGGGCGCATTGCATTTCCTACACGGCAAAATGGCACTGAAACGCGCTTGGTTAGAGAAACGGGAAAAGCCCCCTCTTTCCTATAGGGAGCAAACTCCGACGCGCGTATCGCCTGTCGCACGCCTTGAGGTGCCGCTTGTTTCTGACACCTTTCGGCCCCTGAAACCCGTGTGCCGGAGGCTGGGTTTTCACTGCCTGCCGTGTTGAATGCAAGGTACCGATCTTCATGGCAGCGCGGCACGAGCAGTCGTGTGAACGTAGGGCTGCTGAAGGGAAAGGTTCCCCCGGACCTGCGTGTTCCTGTCGTGCGGTGCTGGAATCGGCGCCTCTGCCAGCCGGCCAAAGCGGTTCTAACAACCAAACAGTCAAATTGTTAGCTTTTAGCGTTCTTCTTTAAACGGTCTCCTTGCAATAACCATAAAACTCGATTGCAGTGTTATTTGGGGAAAGGAATTCTTTTTGATAAAAATTCAACTAGTTTTGGGAAAAATTTTCGCTTTTCATGGGGTCGTGCAGAAAATGAAAACAAAGTAAGGTTCCCCCCTCAGTATAAAATTGAACAAAGTATTGCATCTGCTCAGTTACCGTAAACAAACTGCACCCAGAAAGCAGAATAAAAGCTTATGTCTGTTTTCTATGTGGAATTTGGATATTGTTCTGTTTTTAAAACAGAGCCGAAGATCCTCTGATCTTGCCGTCTGCGTAGTTGTCTGCTGTTGTCCGACCAGAGCCAGCAGGATTAAGATAACAATTCGTATGGGCTTTACTTTCTCTTGCTGTAAAGAAATTAAGCAGGCAGCTAAGAAAACTTAGGCACATGATTATCTATTTTTTTTTTTGAAGACTCAAATTTCCTTTCAAAGGTTCTTTTACAGCGTGCTGCACTGCTGTTATTTTCCGCTGTTGGAAGACCAGAAGTTAAACATCCTGCTTAATATTACATTTTGTAAAATCAAATTGACAAGATATTGCAAAGTAACTGTGTATATTCGGTAACCAAAAGTAGTGAAGACCTCCTAAAACTCCAGTGGATGGTATATTTAATAGTACAAAGTTAACTTAAAAAAAAAAAAAAGAGACTAAATTTTATACAATTGCCTGTTGTTCAATGCATCGACTCGGGCAAATTCAAGTAAAGCATTAATAGGAGTGGTGGCTGAGAACGGAGAAGCTGTCCTGCCCTGAGAGTTTTAACTCCATTTGAAAACAATGATTTCCACTGCAGTCTGATGCTGTTATGTTCTTGTAAACTGATTTAAGTACTCAAGTTTCAGAGGAAGAAGCTGCTTCAAGGAAAAAATTGTGCTGGTGACATCTGTGATTTGCATGTAAAGGATTATCTCAGTGAGTCAGTCGAGTGACTTTCATGCTGCAGTGCCTGCTGGATGCCATTTGTGAGCACAACCGGCTAATGCTTTGGCTCTCATTCGAGGAATGACAACTTCAAGTGATTTTCTGGTATGGATGCTACATGTTATGGGTGAGAAAAGCCGATCAGTTGCTAGAGTGAATGAAGACATCTGCCTTCCCAGAAACGACTGAATGCAAGGTGAATAAAACTGTAATTTTAAATGTTCCAAGATTTTAACATAGCAAAAACAAATATGAAAATTGGGCTGAAAATAGCCTTTTGTTAATTAAGTGGCTAAGCATGCTTACAAATGGTAGCGATTTGCCAGTTTTAGGAAGCCTGTTGCTTATCAGTAATGTTTTCTTCTGCCATGAACCCCAGAATTACCTTCCCAAAGGCTGCTGCCTCCTATTACATGTAGCCTTTTCCGTCCACTGGGATGCCTGTAGTCTGCAGCTGAATATTGCATTTAAGGCATAAGAGAATTAGTTATTAGGAGCTGGAAATAAAATACAGCTTGGCAAAAATTAACCTCAAAAGAAACCTGTGAAACTTGGGTAAGACTCGGAGAAAAGCATGGTTATCCCCTGGTATATGGGCAAATAAAGGTAGGGGTGCGTGGAGCAGGGTGGTCCTGGCCCTCTGCACCTTTCCCGGCAGGGCTGCAGGGCAGGGAAACACAACCTCAGCATCCCCCTCTGAAACCTTGAGAGGTCTTAAAAAAAATCAGAAAAACCTTATCAAACTGTTCAATATTTTAAGCACTGAGGTAATGTGATTCCCTAATCTTTCACTGAGAATCAGGCGACTGTTTATTTTTCTTGTTGTAGGGTCTTGGTTTGGGTTTTAGATTTTTTTTTTTTTTTTTTTTTTGTATGAGGTCTCTAACAGTCTTCAATAATTGGAGTTAACAGGTATAAAGTAACAAGATGGCAGTAGTTAGGGTAACCTTTCTAGGTTAAGACTGTCAAAAAATCTTCCTGAATTTGGTCTTGTTTTTAAGGGGAATGTAGGATCGTAGCAGACATGAGGTTCTGACAAACCATATTTCTAAGAATGTAAATTCTGTACGTGCTGTTACAGACTGTAAAGGATTGGGCCATTATTGTAGTGCTTGGACTGCATTTAAAAAAAAAAAAAAAGGAAAAAGAAAAAAGAAGCTTCCCAAAAACTGGAGCAGTTGCATTGAATACCCTTTCCTCCCAATACATAGCCCCCCGGCTCTGCCCTTCAAGGCATACCAAAATCCTGCTTTATACACAAAATTGGCATCTGTGAGCCCTCTCGCATCTTACACAGGTGCATTAGTGACTGTACATACTTGGAAGTTAACCTTCTCTGAATTCTGGAACAGGCCTCCTCTGGTCTCAAAAATACAGACTCTTTGGGCTGGGCTTGAAGTCTGGTTCGGTTTCTTTGCACCTGCGCTTTTTCAGTGCTGAATTTTATCTTCCCATGTGTGGTGGTGCAAGGCGTGTGGGAACCGCCCCTGTCCATTTAACAGCACCTACAGCCACCTGCAGCCATTTCTAACAGAGCAGAGCCAGACTGTGTTAGGACTGCTTTAGATGCAGAAGATGAACAAACTCTCTGAAATCTGCAACTGCCTCCTCCACACACAGAAGCCGACCCCCCAGGCAGTGAGGAGGGACCTGCGGGGATGGTGGGACCCTCACCAGTGGGGATGGGGATGGGGATAGCCGGCTGGCAGCTCACCAGGGCTTTGCTGGGGTAGCTGGCCTGTGAGATCCACCGGTCCCTCTGTGCTGGAGCAGATGTTGCTGTTTGTTGATGGAAGCTTTGGGACTTCGGTTTGTTACAGTTCAAGGAAAGGCAGTTGTGCTTCGGAATGGAAAGGAAGGGCTATGAAAACCTGTGATTGCAAAGGCCTGAAGCAACCTCCTCCACCCCAGCACTATTCTAGTAACATGCATGGCAGAAGCCACGTCCCCGCACCCTGAGGAGTTGCTGTCACTGTGGCCTGCTGCCGGGACCCTCGGCGCGTCCATGCCACATGCTCTGATCCCGCCCCACCATGTCCACGCCACACGCTCTGATCCCACCCCACTGTGTCCATGTCACACACTCTGATCCCACCCCACCGTGTCCACGCCACATGCTCTGATCCCACCCCACCATGTCCATGCCACACGCTCTGATCCTGACAGGCGATGGGCGCTTGCTGCACGCCTCCCAGCAAGCAGCTTTTCAGCATTACAAATGATCCCCCATTAGAAATGGTGTTGAGTTAAACAAGGGTTAGCCCACCCAAATACACATGAAGTTTGGGAACAGCATTTATTTTTGAAGGTTTCTTCTTCTTGTGCTGTTTCAACATCTTTTGTACTTGGTTTCCTCACAAGCTGATATTCTTCAATCTTCAAAATTTGTCACCGGTGCCTTGCCCCCTCCACAAAGGAGGAAAATAGTAGCACCTGCTATTTCTGCTATTTGCTCAATTTGCGCTTGCAGCCAACAGCCAAGGACAGCATCAACCACCCGGCGTCTCACTTGACACGACAGCAGTCTTCTTTTCTTACAGGGACGGAAACGTGTTGGCCTCTCGCTTTCCCATGTCCCAACCAGGTGCTGACGTCTTTCAAGCCACCAGAAATAGGATGAAAGTGAGCACACCAAACTGTTCAAGCAGTACGTTAGTAACACAAATAAGCAACACAAAAGGCTCAAGTTTATTTGTTTTGGCATGCCTGCTACTGGAAACACAGCCTAACAGGTCCTTCAGCATCTATTTAAATCCCCCAGTTATTTATCCCTTTTGCTGCCACCTAGTATGTCAAATTTTTACAGTGGAATTGAAATGTCTCCAGGATACAGGCTTATGTAATGGAAACAATGAACTGGGAGTTACCATACCAAATAAACCATCTCCTTCAGTCAGGGTCTTGTTTCGCAGTGTTAGCAATCACTCAGTCATAAAAGGAAGGGCTCAGAATTCATTGTTGCTAAGGTTCACAAATTCACCGTTTTTCTGAAGAATACACTATGAGCATGGAGTGACTTTTCCAGCAGTACAACACAAGAATGCACAAATTATGGCACCGTTTTATATTTAACATTTATTGCATGTCAGTGGTTCATAGCCTGGTAAGAAAGCCCGTTACTGTACACTTCAGTTGACTTTCTGCCCAGCAGCTGGAACTGAAGCCAGGTGCTGGTCACATAGAATGACATGTAAGTGAGCTCATGAACTATCAGCATACAGAGATCGCTAAAAGATGGAAAGAAAAGTAACACTTGATGGCTGCTGGCCAAGGGAAGCAGAACACATGAACATAGTGGGGCTGGAGCCTGAAACACAGTGAAGTGCAGGAAAACAGCATCAGCTGTGCTGCCCGGTGCAAGAGTGAGGAGGGATCCTGGACACACTCGGCTGAAGCCGGCACAGAGCAGTACAGAACTTCTACTTTTCTATTCTGACCTCCACACCAGGTACTGCTCTTCAGCTGACTAATATATGGGTTTGTGGTGTTTTGAAAGGGCTACCTGTATTGGTGCACGCTGTTTTGCAGAGGTCATACAAGGATCAAAAACCTTCAAGGATAACAACACAGTTTTTTAGAGTTTCTCTGCTCTGCAAAAATCAGAAGGCCTAAACGCAGCATTTGGAAGCAAAATGCTTCCATAGAGAACATGGCCAAAGGCTGTAGCAAACCACACCAGTTATTTCTGTGATCACTGACAGACAGAGTAAAAGACTGTCAATCCAACAGTGCTGATAAAAAAAAACAATCAAAACATTCTAAGGTTTTGTTTCTGTGCTTCTGTGGAATTAAACCTGTTCACAAGTCTGTTTAATTACCTTTTTTTCTGGTAAATGTCCATGAGAGTGTTACTACTTAGAACAGAGCAGTATTTATATCTCTTACAAAGAGCATTACAATTATTATTCAATTTGCCATTTGCTTTCAGATGCCTTAGTCTATACCACTATTTCAGCAAAAATATCAAGATTGCTTTCTGAATCATCCTCAGGCTCCAATTCTTCTTTGTGATCCTTTGTAGAGGTATGTACGTCTTGTTCTTGAACGGTCTTTCTCTTTCTTCTGTGAATGTACACAGAGCGATCCTTCTCCGTCTCCTCAGAAGGCGAGCTGTCTGCACCGACGGCAGTTTTCAAAGCTAACTCTAAGCATTTGTAGAACCTGGGAAGAAACAATTGTGTGATTATTTTTGTAGGTTTGCTCAGGATCTGCAAAACTACTCTGAGAAACTTAATGCTTTTGTAATCTAATCAAAAAGGGCTAAGAGAAGAAAATTGTTATTAACGTTGAAATGTTCTAGCCAATACTGGAAGAAAGATTAGAAATGTCAGCACACATCCTTGTGTATGCCATTAAGACCCTGTTAATCTTGCAGAAGCTATAAAGTTATCAGGTTAAACATCTGATGAATGATAGCATTAATGATCAGACAGACTGCTACACTTAGAAATTATTTTTAATAACCACAGAGATTTTCAACGGACATATAAAAAGAAACTGGTCCTACGTGTAGGACACCTACGTGTAGGTGTCTCTCCAGCACCCCTTTGATCCTCACGCTCTTTGGCTCTTCTGCCTATTCTGTTCCTCAGCTGGAGACAAACGTAGAGACCCAAAGTGTGTGTAACCTTCCACTGCCTTCACAAATCATCAGTTTTGGAAACTATACAAAAGCATTTAGTGGATTAAAGTGCGCATTGCAATCTGAATACTCCTGAAATGGTTACTGTATTAGAATAACAAATGCTGTTATCATTAGAAAAAGAAATCCTACTCAGCAACAAAGACAGTCTGCAAACTCACATCGGTTATAGGTTTTTGCTTAAAGAGTTTATAGTCTTCAGAGCTCAAAAAATTAACTGAAATTGTATTTAGGTTTCGGGGGTGGCTGTCTGGTTTTGGTTGTGCATTTTTTTCTTTTACATAACCTCTCACTTTAGGATGAATAGGTTTGGTGTACTCTTACAAACCTGTCAATCCTCCTTGTGTTTTCTTCCATTTTTCGATTAGCTACGTGTATCAGAAATTCAATATATTCTTCAGAGACCATCAATTTCCCCTTGTGGCTCAATGGAACTTCTAAGCAGTGAGTGCTCCGGACAGCCTAAAAACACACACAGAAGGATTTAACTAGAATAAAGTTTGGGGTTTTTTTTATTTTATGAAGGTTATTTAAATAATATGGGGAGTTCATTACAGGAAAAAAATGCTTATCCACCCAATTAACCAAAAAATAGTTTGCTGTCAACTAAAGCAGAAAGGTATTTCTTTGCTTCAGCACGCCCTGTGATAGCTGTCAATCACATTACAATTCAGATCTTGGCTTGTAAAAAATCAAGGCTAACAGTAACAATATGATTTTGTTACATACATACAAGTAGAAAAGTCCTTACCATCATAATTTTTCCTCCTCTGCCGACCGTAATACCAGAGTTCCTGAACCCAGAATCGATAGCCACTGCATGCTGTAGAACAAATAAATGCCTTGAACAGGTCTTACACACTTCCACAGCAAGAAATAATTCTGGATGTGTTGCAATGCAGTTTATAATCTCAGTTTTGAAAAAGAACTATTCAAAACCATCTCCCCAAATTAATGCAATAACAGTTATATTAAAATGTTTTTAAGATCAAACCCACATAGGATCACGAATTGTGGTTGGTTTTCAAAGAACCACAGTCAATCTTGATTGTCCAGTCTTAATCCACTAGTGCAGATGGGACATTAACGTCCTATTATCATGAGGAGCTGGTAACCATATAGACGGTCATGCAACACTTCTATAGGTAAAAGTGCAGCAGTACTATATAGGAAGCTAATCAATTCTCTTCTACATCAATGAAGCAACAAACCCAACTCTCCAGAGTTGTTCTGGTAAAGCAGAAGGCAAAGGTACTATGCAATTAGTTGAAACACTGGAGCCAAATGGCCTGGCCAGTAGCAAAATAACATCTAAAAACCCCATCACTTTCAGCCAGCGAAAGCAACCCAGGCTCACTGGGAACAATTTTTTTACCAGGCAACCTGCTTCACCTTGAACACTGAATTGTAGTTGAGTAATTTTGTTTTCTAAAAAGCACAGCAAAATCTCTAAGTTTAAAACTGTGTTTTCTTCATCAGCTTACTTTTACAACCCTAGTTATTAAACATACAGCACAGCTGGGACTATTCTTAAGTGCTAAAGCTTACTCAGGAGCCAATACTTGCACTTTTACAGCAAGGACTATAACAGAACAACAATGTAGCATTGTTACTTGATGTAATTTTACCAGAAGCTGTGCATCCTGCAGCTCTTGACATAGCACATGAAGAATAAATGGTTCAAACTTGAGCACAACATCACCAGTAGCTTTCTCTAGTGCTGTCATCTGGAAAATACACCAAAATATTTATATTAATACTGTAAGTGTATATTGTTACTGAAAAAAAAGGAGAAAGAATAGCTAGTTAGTGTGTGAAACAAGCATTAAAAATGCAGCAAATGAGTGCCAAGCAATCAGGTTTGTTCAGCTGCTTTTGATTTTTCATTGCTCATAATACATAGAAATTCCATGGATTTCCATGATTCTGTTTGCCAAACTGATTACGTTTGATAGAAATTCATCACAAGATAGACTTTAAAAACCTGAAGAAGTGTGCTTCCCTGTTTATTTCTTTGTACATTCAAACAAATTGATACAGGCAGTACAGCATGGGAAGAGGACTGCTTTACTGCAATCACATGAAATCTGAGCGGTTTTTTTTTAGGTTTGGGGTTTTTTTTAACTGTTCTTTAGAGTCAAAGACATTTAGTTTCTGAAGTACAGTCCTCAACCTCAGAAAACTATCTGGGTTTCAGCAGATTAAATTAATGGCCTAACATACTTGATCACATCTTAATCCTAGTTTAAATAATAACGCATAGCCTACTGTGTAAGAGTTATAAGGATAAAAAATTCAGAGGCCGAAATTAAAGGCATAAACCCACCAAACAAGGAAAAAAAAAAGAAGTAACTTCATAATTATAAAATTCAATAAATTATCTTCAGGCCCCTCAGTTCTGCTAGAAGACTGAGATGTTGCTAGCTATTTTTCCTGGATTTGTGAATATGGAGAAAGCTATGAGACATTCTGCATGGCTTACAATTCCTCTATTTTTCTATGCTATCTTTATGCAGAGAAATCTTAAGGGACGATATTACTTTCTTCCATTCAGAAAGGTCACTTTGTGGCAGTTATATTACTTATTTCATTGTATGGTTATTTAATTGTAAGCCCTATTTACCCTGTAAGCCCTCTTCTTGTTTGCCTTCACTTGCTTAATTCACAGCACTAAAAAATTTGCTGTGTTGAGAAATTTCAGCTGTTTTCCCATACTTTCTTGCTTTGTCTAGCCCTTCTCATCTTTCTGGTAAAATGAAAATATTCAGTAAAATCTTCAGGAAATAATCAAATTCATATGGATTTTTAAGATATGATGGCATAAAAGAAAACTGCTGAAGTAACACTCTCTCCTTTCCTTTAAAAAGTGTTTAAATGTATTTATGCAGCACCTCCTCCATAAACGTTCTTATTTGAAGTCGAAAGCAGGTCTTTCTGAATGGCTAAGTTTGTAATTTGTGCACCAGATTTTAAAAAATGCCCAAGTAACCACAGCTGTGCTAAAACTGATGAGAAACAGAAACAATCAACATTGCATAATGCAGTGTTGTACAGAAATACCCTAAGCTAACTTATTTAGCATTTGCTTGGGCCTGGAAATGAGTTGTGTTGACACAGTGCTCCACTGAGGTGAATTCACCCAGCCTGAGAGTGCGCTAGCATGGTCAAACAGCTTCCTTATGCAAAGCTGGGCTCTCAGAGTTGGTGTGGTTTCCCTCCACAGCACAGCACAAGGCTGGCTGTGTGTGCTCCTGAGGCCCCCGCGCCCTGCAGTGTCTGCTTGGGCTCTGCTCGTTTCAGCAGAAATACAAATACCTGCAGCAGTCTGCATTCAGGGTGCATAACACGGGCTGGGACCAGCCATGGACCTTTTTCAGGCACATTTCTGTGACCCCTTTTCAGGCGCTTTCCCATGTTTGAGAACTCCGTTCTAGCCATCTGAGCAACACCGTGTCCTGCTTCAGCAAAAGGATCGGCATCCACTGTGGTTGGAAGCCAAGTTAGACAGGCTTGTCTCTGAGACAAGTTTGTCTAACAGAGAACACATTATTAGCTGCGAGCAGCGTGTGTGAGGTCGGTGAGGGTGTTTTTAAGGGTCTCTGTTTCTCTGAAAAGACTTAAGTAATTTAACAGATACTTTAGAGGTTGCTTTGCAGTGAGAATACAACTGGTCAAGAAAGTCTTACTAACAGAAATCACTTATGCATGTTAGCACTGCCCTGAAGCTGTCTTACAGTACTTGTTTCCTCAAAAAGCTTATTAATGAAGTATTTTCAGTAAAGGTTTTTTTATTATCTTACTGCATCCAAATAATTAATTTCCTGAAAATTCAATTTAATAGGGAAATACTGAAAGTAATTTTCTATTAAGTCTATGAACTCTGAGGCACTGACTTCCTCCTAGTGAAGCTGATGGGAAAACACCCAGTGGGAATAGGATGAGCCCCCTCATCTCTAAAGAGTCAAAGTCTAACAGCTGTCATGAAATGACAGAAAGTACCTGTTGGCAATATGTAAAAAAGCTCCCACAAATGACAAAAGCAATCGCTGAAGTGATATGGAGCAGAAAACAACTGACTGTGTTTAATGACTGACCGTGGCAGCACGTTTACGGGAAGGCAGAACGCAGCCCTTGTTCCAGAAAGAGCGTATGCTGGTACTACAGCAAACGCTTTCGCTGCAGTGATGCACAGCTGCAGTCACGTTACCAGCTTGGGTATAAGTTACAGTCTGATGAGGGCAGTGCACAGCCTGCTGCATTCGGCAAAACCTGCTCACGAGAAAGGGATGAGATGACATCTCGCTCGTGAGACACATGGTACTGACACTCAGGCTCAACATTTGGGAGGTTTGTCAGCAACACACAAAACCAGCAGCTGATGGCATACCTTACAGGTCTGTCCATACAGATGTGTGGACAAAACTATGTGTGCATAGGTCCTGGTAGAAGGGAATGCTCTGCACACACTCATCTTGAAGTATTAAAAGGCAGCTGGCCATATTCTGGTGTACATACATCCAGAAATCCAAAGTTGAAGGTGGTTGAGGTTCATACCAATAGTGTGTCAAGGAAAAAAGTACACCATTTCAGCTTTCCACTGCTGTGTAATTATGGGATTGTATTTGTGTCATATCAATAACCTTGAAAGCAATGCTTCGTAATACATGGTGCTTTTTGTCTAAGCATTGGGAGGATAAAGGGATAAAAATAAATTGCAACCCAAGTATCCTATCTTCGTATTGTTGAGTTTAATATAGGCACAGAGGCCAAATGATCTGACAGCCGAAAAGCACAACACACAGCATACAAGATCCTGACTTCCCTTCTCATTTCCTAAATATGGCACTAGCAAAGCTTTATCATACACTTGAGTAGTTTAAAAATTAATCATTTTTCTTACACTTGCAATTCATGCATGAAAAAAAATCCTGATTACCCGTTAAAGGGTAGGAGGAAAAATCAGAGTTTTCCTCTTGTAAGAGTCAGCAACAACCTACTGTGTCCTACTCAGCCTGAAACTTGCTGATGGAAATTTCAGCAAGCTCTGCTTTGCCAGAACAAATACTAACAAAGACAAATATTTTGGAGGAGATTTTTTTGTGCATGTGTGAGAATGTATGCATATGGTAAAGTGAGCTATGAATTGAGTGAGAGAATGTTGATGTAACCGCTTATTTTTTTGGGACAGACAAAGCAAAGAGATGGATGCAGAGAGCAGACTATTTTGAAAGCATACTAAAAAACCCACCACTATACCTTTTTTTTTAAATTTCAGGGGATTTTAAGATGCAGAGAATTCAAAATGCAATGTAAGAGATTTGCTGTTACACTAGTTTCAGGTGTCTTTGTAAATGAAAGGCTGTTAGCACAGCCAGCTGGGCTCAAGACAGTTTTAAATTCGGGACAGTTTTTTTTTAACTCTCAGTTTTAACAGTCTGGAAGGAGGTATTATGTACAAAATGAACACGCTCGCTGGCATGCTTACCCAAACACATCTACATTTAATGGAAACAAAGAAATTCATTTTGATTGCTTCTGGAATTGCTGACCAAAACAACAGCCATAGCTCATGAAACAGTTCATGAGGACAACACAAAATAGTTGTTAATCACCACTGACCCATTCTGAAAGAGGGATTACAATTATTGCGTTAGTGTGTATGTCAGGCTCTAACTGTTGGAGAACGGGATAAAAGCCACATTATCCTGCATCTGTGTCCCGCAGGAATGTTGCTGCTTGAGTAAGCATCATCTCAGATGCTGCCTGACACAGAACTTTTACTAGGCAAATGCAGTTTGCATTGCAGCAATTGTTTCTTTGGTATTAACAAGGCATATACTGTTTTCATTTAGCCCAGTGTGGTCTGCTAATGACTAGGTCATCACTGTCCAAAGACCAGCAAGTATTTTACAGAAATTAAGCTTATTTTACTTTTGGATAGAAGGGCTTTTAAATCAAATCTGATCTCCAGTCGATACCTTACTGGCAGTCCAACAAAGAAGGGAAAATAAAGAACAGCTAAAAGGCTGCAGGAATGAAAAATACATTGTTATAGTACAAGTAATCTTTCAGGATAACACTTGCTTAGAAAAGCATTATTTCCACTTACCCCCAATAAGGAAAGGGCTTTGAAAAAATAGGAATCACACTGTATCTTAGATTTTCAGAAATTGTTTTGTGAAAGACAGCCTTCTGCTACAGAAGCAATAGTAATTACTGACTTCCTGTTGAGCTATTGTGATGTGGAGATAGTTGACTCCAGACAGTATGAAATTATTCAAGTTTCATATTAACTGCATTTACAACTATGCAGAGAATTTGGTATTAAGCTTAAAAGCATTCTTTTCAAAACAGGTCCTATGAATTTATTAAGCAGAACACCTACAGCAAAGTTTAGTTTGAAATTGAAGTGTCAATTTGTTTCAGGAACAGGCATAAAAATCCTAAAAATGTTTTTATTACAAAACATTACATTAAATAAATATTAAAGTTGTATTGTATTGCCCTCTTACCACATCGTCTTTGATACACACTTCATGTGTTACCATGAGCCATGTGCAGTTTTTCTTCTGGATCTCACAGCTGTTTACATCCTAGTAATGAAGAGAAATTATTAAACTAGCACTGCAGACAGGTGACGTTTGATCTTGCGCTTGTATAAAAAAATGGTCCTTCAGCATAAATACTGTCGCTTTCAACACAGCGTGTTTTCTTAGCCTATGAAAATGTATTTATGTAAAAGTAGTTAAAAACGAACCTATCTATGCTCGTATATATTCTCAGCTAGATAAAGCCCTAAGACTGAGGTCTAGCATTAGAAAGATTTATGTCCCAGCAAGCGACGTGAAGAACTGGAGCGGGGCCGGCGGGCCCCCCCCCGCTGCCGTCCGTGCCCGCAGCCCAAAGCCTTCCGCGGCAGACGGATGTGCCTTCGGAGCTCCCAAACCGCCG